CTCAGTCCCCAAGTGAATGACATCAAATGCGCTGGTTATTGCAGGTATTCTTCTGGTAAATATATCTCCATACCTGTGCATGCTTATTTTTTTTTTCCACAGTTTTCACTTGTTTCTTTACTGAAGGGAATCCCATGGAATCTATTACAACATGATTATTACAGCATTTTTTAGGTGAATTTTAGCACATAGCAGATTGGCAAGTAGGGTTTTAAAGCACAGGCATTTTGTTCAGTTTTTAACAAAATCTATATTTGAAATGTAATAAAAAGATATGTTATTTTAAAGTTCCCATGCTCCTCATATAATGTAACCTGCTGCTGTTTATCTGTAATAACGGATCTGTTTCGCATCCTCTCAACATCTGCCATGTAAGCACAAGGTCAGATTTAATACATGTTAATTTTTGCTCATTAAATTCCTCCAATCTCTTGCCAAGGTTCTTTTTTGGGCCTTCCTTTGATCTCGAATTTATTCCAGGTTAACCCTGTTATAGTTCCCCTGCGTAATATTGCACCTAGAACTGTCATTTCAGAAGTCACTAAAATTATTTTATAAAAAAAAAAAACTGCAACCACAGAAAACACCCACCCATCAGCATCATTAAGTCTAAATCCACACAGTAACGCATATTTACACTGGTGGGTTTCTGTTATTGTGTTCAGTCAGAAAAGGCTGATCCTATATCATCCAATGGCTCTGTGACCTTATAGTCCCATTAATAACAGGATGCTGTGTTTGCTTCACATGTGGTTTCCTAAAGTGATACTAATTGATTGTTTCTGTAACATTCACTGAGCTTAGCAAGACTCAGCTGGTGCCTTTGTGAAGATAGATATGGCTGGCTGTGAGCTTAAGAACCTCCTTAATGTATTATTCACACCCATTTGACCTTAAAGATGGAAATGCAAATGTGTGTCAAGAATGAGAAGGATCATTGGACTTTTCAAATGTCAAAGAGCCTGCCACAATTAAGACATATTCATTACAAGCGCCCACGGGTCCCCCACACCCAGCTGACATGTAAAACACCTCCAATTAATATTTGGATCATTATCTCATCACTAGAGCTACTGCACACATTCTATTCAAATTCATATATTATAATAACCATGATGCTCATCTGCAAAGTTTAGTGACATAATGCTAATTATTTTTATTTTATAATGGAAGAAGTACTGTTTCATATATTTTGAGGCTGTTATAGGACAACATAATGAGTTGACAGTTTTTGAAACGCCCTACAATCACATGCAGATTAAGTAATCTAGTGTTATGATGTGCTTTTTGTCAGTTTTTTAAAATTGCACTATATATCAATACTGCCATCTGCTGATGAGGTCAAATACTGACACAACCAACTCATATGGTGTTAATATCCCCATCATGTCAGCACCTAACCTTTGGGTGGCAGCAACAACACAAATGTTATCTGCTCCACTCCTGTGGTGGATCACTAGAAACAACAACAGATCTTGTATAATGATAAATATAGAATTTAATTCTCCATCGATGTTGTCTCTCACCTTTACAAGTTCAGTTGTTGAGTACAATGGGGTGTAAGTACAATAGGAGGATGTCAGCCTCACATACTGTAGCATCTACAGTACGAATGTATCTAAATATTTAGTCTCCCTTTGTTTCAACATGTGCCATTCAAATGAAACTAAATAATTTGGCGACGACAGTCGAGTCTGGCCTCCCACTGGATTCCTGTCTATAGCAAGATTCACTGACATAAAGAAGTCAAGCTGCCTGGCTCAAGTGTGCAAACATGCATTGTTTTACCATATACATAGATAAGTGCAGGCATTTGTGAAGGGAATGCGCTACGACCATGACTGAAAAGGGCAGGAGAGGCTTTACATCCTGGTTGAACAGTACAAACAGCATTTTGATGACACATGGATGACTGTATTTGCCTGACACATTTCACTGATTTGCAAGAGCTGAGGGCTGAAATTAGGGAATCTGATTGGTTGTGTCTGGTCATGTGATTTCTTGTTGCTAAACTGGTGAATCCAGGGGGTCAGGGATAACTTCACCTTATTACACTTTGGTGGAAGTGACGAACGGTGTGTGATATTTTTTCTAGATTATGATGTGAGAGCTGCACCACCAAACAACTGAAATTAAATATATTTTAATAAATGGCAGTGAATGTTGGTATTTGAATCTGACTTAGGTTGATTATTTTAATATTAAATTTCAACTTCTTCAATTGAAATCAGTGAAAACAAAGAAAGAAGAAAGTTTGGTGTTAGAGTATGAAGGAGCTGAAGACCTATGCTGAAGACACAGCCGGCATGGGAAGCGCAGCTGTTATGGCAGCACTCCAGCTGTGGGTGGCAGTAAACCTCATCTCTGTGTGTTCGATCTGCAGAAGAAGAGCGGGCTGGATTGTACACGGAAGCAGGAACAAGACTTTAAATCTTCCAACCTGTCATACCACATTAGTCAACGCGGATTGTGTGGTGAGCGATAAGCATAGACGGACTGGACATATTTGATAGTTTGTGTTGCCTCCGGTGTGCGGACACAATGAAGACGGTTTTCCTGCTAATCACAGTATCTCTCTGTTGCTGCTTAGTCACAGGTGAGGGTAGTTTTCCATCGTCTTTTTGTTCTATGCCTCCTTCAGACTCATTGTTAGAGAAATGTTGGATTCTCTCCATAATCCCTGTTTGCTAATGCAGCTTGTCTTCGACAGTTAAATTACAAAACAACTCTGAGACAAGTGAAACTAATCACAGAGGTCAATTTCACCGTCAGTGTTGTGTTGAAGGAAAATCTTTACTGAATGGATATACATACATACATGCATATATATATATATACACACACACACATACATATACCTGGATATATTTTCGTTATCTGATTTAACTGCGCCTTACATTGTCCCTCCTGATGCCTGTTGCCTACGAAGCAGGATGTGAGGTTTAACTCTGGGTTTTCAGTACTAAGACAGTGGTTCACTTCTTACCGGGGTAAATCACCATGGTAACTCATGCTTAACTGCTAACCTGCTCCGGGGCAAATTAACTTCAGAGGATCAGATCAAAACCTGTCTACAGCCCAGCTACTGACCAATCGATAGATTACTGGAAAAACTGAGTCATCATTCCTACAGGATCCCGACGGAAACAAGAGTTCACAATAAAACGACTTATAACAAACGGAGAGACCATTTTTCTTTTCTTCTCTCTGGCAGTATTAACTGTCTCACGTAATGATAATTCATGGACTTATTTAGAGTCGTAAATAGTAGTAAAGTACTAACTAGTAAACTTAGCCTGACTTTAATAACTGGATATTATTTGTAGTGTTTCCTTTTTATTCTTGCCATGTGATCATATTGTTCAAATTTCACCTCGTTGAATATCACTTTATGATGTTGCAAATGGCAAATTACCTGCAGGTATCAGCGTTTCTTCTCATATCATAGTAAGTACTTTATTAATGGTTCTGATGATGTTGCTTATAATTAACAATTCTGCTTCTTTCACATGAACGTGCTGGTAGTTGGATAGGGGAGTTAACTGAGACAGTTTATAAGCAGCTTCATTGTACATATTATCCAGGACAGCCAATGTTAGATTCAGTTAAGCCAGATAAAAATATATCCTAGGTATGTTGAACCTGCTTTGTAGTGCAGGCCTCTGGATAACCTGAGGCCTGTACTAAGAAGCAGGTTAACTCTGGGTTTACCTATCCAGCTATGAGCATTTTCATGTGAAAGAGGAGGATTCTCTAAATCAGTAGCCTTGACAGGAAGTTGTGCTGTACAGTCACACGCAACTACTGTTTTGCATGAAAGGAACGGAGAATGTCAGCAATTTCGCAAAATGTTACAGTGGGACGTCCCACCAGTAAAAATGCAACATGTATTCTCTTGCAAGGCTTTTATTTCAAGGGGTGGCACTAGTGTTGGGACAACTTGTGTTAGAATTGCAGTAAAATTAAATAATAAAAAAAGATTCTATGGCATTCATGTATCTGTTCATGGTTTACAACGATAGTGATCATACCACATCCATGCAGAGTTAGTAGTATACAGCTGTTAATTGTTTTATATTTAACGATATGATATTGGACCGGTACTCGGAATCAGTCACTACACAAGTTCAGGTAATGGACTCTGTATTGGGAAGGAAAAAATGGTATCGGAACATGTCTAGTTGCATGCCTTTCCCATTGTGTCTCTCCTCTGATTAGCTGACGTCTCTCTACAGTCCCTGTCCAATAAAGGCATAAAAATGGCCAAAAGAATAATAATTAATAATAATAATAATACTAATAATAATAATGAATTTTACTGTCATTTGTCCATTTGCTTTTATATCAAACTAGCTGTTTGGTTCAAAGGCAATTCCAAGCTGTTTGTTTGCTGAGGCTGCCACTTTGGGCTTGATATTACAGCCTTTGTGTTATGCTTTTTACAACATATAATTTAATCAGATAATCAGATAATCTCAGCTAATTTAATCAAGTGGGGCGAGGATGACAAGAAGATGACAGAGGACATTACTAACAAGGTTGGACAAATATTCAAAATTGCCTTTGTTCTGCTGGTTAAAACTTTTTTTTTTTTTTTTTTTTTTTTTTTTTTTTTTTTTATTTACAGGGGCTCCAACACAAGATGCTAAGGGCCAAGATTCAACCATGACGGCCCAAAGACAACCTACTACAGGTGAAGCAAACGATCAACAAACAATGACACCTTCAGAAAAAAGTCAGGGGAAGGAGCCTGATTCACAGAAGGATCATCAAAATCACACTGAGAACAAGGAAAAGATAGCCAGTGATCACAAGTCCATAACCATCCAGGCAGCTAGCGAAGGGAATGCGCAATTGGGAAACGACAGTAAGAAAACAGCAAACAGCGATGAGAAAACAAAAGACAACGGCGATGAGAAAACAAAAGACAACGGCGGTGAGAAAACAAAAGACAACGGCAATGAGAAAACAAAAGACAATGGCGATGACAAAACAAAAGACAACGGCGATGACAAAACAAAAGACAACGGCGATGACAAAACAAAAGACAACGGCCATGACAAAACGCCAGACAACGGCCATGACAAAACGCCAGACAACGGCGATGACAAAACGCCAGACAACGGCGATGACAAAACGCCAGACAACGGCGATGACAAAACGCCAGACAACGGCGATGACAAAACGCCAGACAACGGCGATGACAAAACGCCAGACAACGGCGATGACAAAACGCCAGACAACGGCGATGACAAAACGCCAGACAACGGCGATGACAAAACGCCAGACAACGGCGATGACAAAACGCCAGACAGCGGCGATGACAAAACGCCAGACAACGGCGATGACAAAACGCCAGACAACGGCGATGACAAAATGCCAGACAACGGCGATGACAAAACAGCAGACGATGGCGATGCGAAAACAGCAGACAACAGCGATGAGAAAAAAAAAGATGATGGCAATGAGAAAACTGCGGACAACAGCGATGAGAAAAAAAAAGACGATGGCGGTGAGAAAACAACAGACAACAGCAATGAGGAAACAACAGAAAAAGACGTCAGTGAGAAAAATTCAGAAGATGTCGCTAATGAGAAAGAAACAGACAAAAAGGACGAAAGTGAGAAAAAAACAGAAGAGAAGAAGCCAGAAGAGGACAGCAGAGATGGGAAAATGGGGGAGGAAAGTCATCAGTATAATGCACCTGGAATGAAGGACGACACAGAAAGCAGTCATTTCTTTGCCTACCTTGTCTTTACAGCTGTGCTGGTGGCAGTGCTTTACATCACTTACCACAACAAGCGGAAGGTACCTGACCTCTGAAACTTTTGTTCTTATTCAGACCACACTGAAGCATACTTCCTGTGTTTCCACTTACCCTGATTTTACATTGTATGTGTGTCAACCGTTGTGGTCTGTGCATTCTTGTTGAAACAAAACAAGATGGAAATGAAATTTTATGAAACCCAAAAGTAACAGTGCTAGCTCTGTCACAGACCTTTGTTTTATTTGCAGTCAGGTCTCCACTTTATGTAATGGAATGATTTTAACTCTTGGCAGTGTCAAATTCATGAAAACATGTAATTCACTCCACATCATTTGTCTACAACTGAATATGTGGGACGTGGTCAGCTTTGTTGATGCTAAGTAAAGCTAACCGGCTACTGGTAGTAGCTTCATACTTACTGTGCTGATATGACAGTGGTATAAATCTTCTCATCTAAGATTGAGCAAGAAAATCACTGCAAAATTTTCCCAGAAATATCCAACCACTTCTGTGAGATGCTGTTATGTTTAGTTGAAGGATTTTAATTGCCAAGTGCTGTGTGGTGCATAATGGAGCACACAGAACAATGAATCCACTCTGCTGCCTCCTGTTCATTAGTGTATTGAAACACAGACCAGACTAGCCATTTGAAACCAATATCTGTTTGTCTTTTCTTTCCTCTCGCCAGATCATTGCCTTTGTTTTGGAGGGAAAGAGATCCAGATCTACACGTCGACCTAAATCTACAGAATACCAGAAGCTGGAACAACATGTAGGTTGCTGATATAACCCCCCCCCCCCCCTTTTTTTTCTTTTTAAATTAAAAATCATGAACTATTTTGTGAGTTTTGAAATCTCTACATTTTCTTTCAGATGTGATCTCAAGTCGTTTTTGTGAAGCCATTGCCTGGAGCAGCTGAATACACTTTAGGTTGTGTGAGAAGGGGGCGAGTACATACAGGCATTAGTTTTTTTTCTTGGTGTCCTCTGCATTGATCTCACCTTGATTTAAATGGACATTGTTCTATTTTGTACCTTTAGATGCTTATTGCATGACTATGCAGATTAAATTGTTGCCTTATTGAGGGACTTGGTGAAATGCAGTGAGGGTTAAATAAGCATGTTGTTTTTGCACTTGTGTCGTTATTCCACTTTATTAGGCAATCTTGTAATTTGACCTGACTAAGGTCCTGACTCAGGATATTTCAGTAGCAGATGAAAAGAATAGCTGTTTGGATTCCAGCCTTGTTTGTACAGTGCATTAGTCATTGCACTGTGTACCTAAAGAAGCCATTTGAATCCTTGTAAAATACTGATTGTGTAGAGTTTCTGTGTGGATGTTTTAAATGTCTGTTAGTTAAATGTATCCAGATTCTTATTTAGATGTGCTAAAGTATCACAGTGGGGTTTCTGCTCAAAACCATATGGTGTTGGCCAGATGAATGTAATAGCAACCTTTATTTTTCCGAATGAGATGCTTGCTCAGTGCTCACCCACTTCAGCTTCTTAAAAGGCAGAGATTGAAAAATTCTGAGACTTGGATGAAAAGATCAACACTCTCATAGTCGTTAGTAAAACAGCCTACTGCCGCTTAGCAAGCCAGACGCTGTCAGTAGGTCACAAAATCTGCCTTCCAGCACCTTTAAAGTCTGTGAATTACCATTTATATTTCTTTTGTTCAATAAATACAAAAACTCAAGTGTTAAAATGATATGTTGCAGTTTTACAAGGGGCTACGTGTTGGACTATTTCTTGAGCTGGAGCATTTATGCTAAGCTAAACTAGCCATCTACTGGCCATAGCTTCATTGTTGGCGTACAAATACAAGAGTGGTGTTGATCTTCTCATCTCACTCTCTGCAAAAAAGGGAACAAGCATGTCTCCCAAAATGTTGAACTAGTCCATTCAAATACAACTAAGTAACACATGTTGGGTACACATGTAAATGTCCTTCATTTTATCCAGAGTGAATATGATGCAAAGCAACCTGCATGGTGTAGCTGACCGTGTTACAGTGTTGGTTATTTGTAAACTGTCAGTCTAGTTATTATGTTTGCCCAGCACCTCTGTGACCAGTTATTCCTCTAACTTATTACTTGTTGCTTTGCATTGAAACTGTAGTCTGAAATGTTGATTGATTTAACCAAAAAAGTATTTTGTAAGAGGAACCTGGCCAACGACTGTGTTGTTTTGACTGTTGGGAGTGCACTATTGGAAAGTAATGTCTGGGGATAGGTGACCACTAATACATTAGATTTAAACTGTCCTCTAGAGTCGATGTGTGTGTTGATGTTTAGAGATGACAGACTTGTGCCAAATTGTGAATGATTTTTACTGTGATTCAATGTGTAACTGTTGTATTGTGCCTGTTTCATAAATTAATATATTTTTACTGGGTCATAATCCATGGAGAGCCCTGTCTGTAGAGAAAGGAAAAGAGATATAATCAAAATCAAAGTCCATATTGTGTCCCAAAAATATATTTCTATTGTGAGATCTGGAAAGAAAATTCTTGTTTTTTTTAACATGAGTGAAAAAGCATAGTTACAATATAGAAGTTTAATGACCTTGTAGCTAAATAATTAGGTATACAGTATTTATTTCATTTTGTTAGGAATGGCTGTCCATAAAGACGAACTGTTGTCCTTCAAATGTTTCTTTGCCAAACCAATTCAGATGACTATTGATTCTAAAATAAATGCTTTTTGTACTTTGCAGCCTCAGATGAGTTGGATTCCCAAATTTTCCTTAACTGTCACAGCTGCTTCAGTGATTCGAGGCCTGACAATCGGTGGTAAAAGACGTATTCAGATACTGTACACAAAAGCAAAAGATAACAACGCGACCATGTAAAAAGAATCCAGTGCAAATAAAACACATTGCATTCAAAATCCTTCAAACCATTAAATGTAAAAAAAAAAAAGTAGAAGTAGTCATCATCCAAAGGGTCACAAGATAAATCTAATGGTCGGTGAGATGATTAATGAGGAATCTTTTTTGTCAAATATTATAATAATTTTCTCTTTAAGCATCAAACGGTGATTTAATGAAACCACCTAAGTTGGAAATGAAATCCCTCTTTGATGTAACAGTTAACTTAGCCATCTCAAACTTAACAAGGGGTCCCAACTAATTATGTTGTCAAATGAATGTAGTCAAGTAAAAAGTACAACATTTTCCTCTGAAATTTACTTAATAGTATAAAGTACAGTACAGTGCTTGAGTAAATGTGTTTTAAATTCCAACTCTGCCCATAATACATGAATTTACCCTAGGGGATAAGTAAAGCATCTATCTATCTATCTATCTATCTATCTATCTAATAAGTCAGGAGGGAAAACACTGTTTTCTTTCAATGAATAAACATCATTTTATGGTTATGCCACTGTACATATCACCACTGTGAAACAATGTCCCACTCCCCCACACATCAAGTAGTGCAGTAAGATAAGGTCCTCACACTGGCATCATATTCCTGGCCTGCTCTTCATAAATGTCTGGTATCTCTCCAATGGAGGAGGTGGTCATTCGGACAGAGTTGCATCCTCGAAGCTCCATCTCATACCGGATAAGCTGCTTCCAGAAGCCATTATTCGGCCTCACTATGGGTCGACAGGTCCTCACCCCCCTGTGGGCCTCCAGGAGAGTCACACCGCGGTGCTTCATCAGATAGGCCATGCACAGTGCGGCGGAGCGGCTCACACCGGCGTTGCAGTGCACCAAAGTGCGGCCTCCGCGCTCTGCAACGAGCTTTATTTTATCTGCCACCTCGTCGAAGTGATCTCCGAGAGGAGTCACCGGGGAGTCTGCTACCGGGATGTGGATGTACTCCACACCGGGAGGAGGAGCAGGGCAGCGGCTCCTGGTCTCGGTAACGTTGATGACGCAGGTTATGTCATGGCGAATCACCTGAGCGGAATCACTGGCCGCGCTGGCGTTACTCAGATAAAGATGATCAGTGACTTCACACAGGCCTGAGAGACCTGCAAGACCCGACCGATGCATAGACAGCAAGAAATTTACCGCCGCTAAATGTTGAAAATATCCCGGATGTCTGGACAGCGAGAGGTATTGACACTTCTAAGGCAACTCAGGAAGGCCAAACTTGTATGAGCGCATACGCTGTCGCCCTCAGCTGGCCATTTTTTTTTCGAGTTCTCATTTATTTGATTAAGAAATAAAAACACATATTCATTTATAAAATGAACCAAAATGCTTTTTTTATGCCTAGTGTCCTTTTATTGCAAGTCCTAATGTTTTGCTTAATTAATTTCATGTAACAATTTTGCAAATTTGATTTTAAGCACTTTGTAAATACATTTTTGGCATTTTGGTATTATTGTTTAAACAATGACATTAAAAAATATATATAAATGAAAAATATGGGGGAGCTCAAGAGTGAACATAAAACATGCTGGAGACATTGCAGGGGACAAGCAATAAAATTTACCTGCTTAAAGTAACAATATAAAACACCTTCAGTGCTATAGGGAAACAAAACAGGCAAAACCTCTTGTGTACACTATTTGCTTTTCTTGTGTTAGGGTGTCCACTTTTCAGATGGACCAGTTTCAATCTGAAAGACGAACACAGGAACTAATATGTCAGTGACACTAAACAACCCTTAAACAAACACATAGCTCAATACAGGAGGGCCAACTCCTCAGGTCAACATTCACACTTAAGCTTGAAGTTTAAGGTACACTTTGATGACAACAACACATAACTGTCCCCGGTGCAGTAGTAGCTGTCAGGAGCCCAACACACTTGCAGTTTGAGTCACAGTCTTTTATAATTTTATTGCCTTTATTGAAATGTCACCAAAAACACGTTTTATCAAAAATGAATATTATGCCAATCACTTATTTAAATTGGTTACTTTCTTCTCAAAAATTACGAGGTAACGAATGAGCTTGCTCCCTGTCATTTTTGGTAACTTGCTTGAGTGGAAGCAAGAAGCAGTTCTCCTCAGCAAATAGACGATTAAGTTAGCAGCATAATGTTTATCAAGTCCAAAAAAAATAAAAAGGAGAGAGGAAGGATAGAGGAGAACAGGATGTGTTTACTGCTAAATGCAAGTGATTGTATGATCAGGTATTGTCACTCATTCATTCATACATTGTAGATGTAACCCACTCTTGGGTGATCTAGATTCGGGAGGAGCTAAGTGTAGAGCATAATAACCATAAACACACACAACAGCTGAGTTTGATTAACTGCACCTTAAGTGTGCTTCACAATGCAAAATACCACAATTTACACAGGTATGAAAAATAACAAACTGGGCCCCTTAAAGTAAACTAAATTGTCCTTAAGTGTGACTTTTTCACACTTTTTTCAGTTCCAGGTCAGTGTGAGATGACAAAGTCAATAATGTGCGCAAAGTCAAATCCAAATCAGACGACGGTCTGGTTTGTCAAAGTTTCCAAGTCAGAGTGCACTCTAAGTCAATGTATGTTCAATGTGGTGCCCGTCCAGGTGACTGGCACATTCCTACCATGTCAAAGCGTAAATCCAGATGCCCATGCAGAATCAGCCACTGGGTGGCTCGCCATCTATCAGGGTGGTTGGACGACTTCTCTGAGGGTTTCCTCAATCAAATCCATGAACCTGACCTGTATTTACAACACAAGTTTAGTTTCTGTATGTTTATCTTATCTATCTAAATCGAATTCTTCAGTTATAGTTCTCTTAAATGGTACCACATTTTAACAGAAAATATCATCAAAATAACACTGAGTGTAATTACTCAACATCTATGAAATTTGTTATATTCTAGTTCAATTTCTAGTCTTCATCTCAATTATTAGTTATTATTAAACATGAAAATATGAATTTAACTGTTTCAACTTAAGCAATATTTAAGTAAACAAAACATATTACACAGCAACAAAAGCTCTTGACTGTAAACATAAAATCTGCAGCATACATTTTATGAAAAATACTGGTTAACAATGTACCATAAATACCTCTTACACGTGAGTAAGTAAAATGATTAAATTAAATAAATTAAATACCCGTTTTTCTTTGAAAAAAATTTATGAATTTTATACAGAACTTGATATCAGTTATCAAATATGTCCCCCTTCAGATATTTGACATTCACCTACATAACACAAAACTAAATTGAATTCGTTGCTGACGATTTCACTGTTAGCACACAGCACTTAGCCAAGTAGCCTGAAAGCTAGGCTAGCTTACCGAAACACGAGGAGTGTACTGAACCAGGACAAAACGGCACTCCTCACGATTCGTTGCTCGTGCTGCGCAACTGCTCCACTTCTCTCAACACCTACACAACTTCACAAGTGTTATTTCTTTGTTTCACTCTCCCCAAACTTTTTTTTTATCTATTTTTAACACTCAACGCAGTGATGCGAAGCAATTACCTCTGGCTCAACAGGGCGCTCGGTGGACTCGTTCCTCTCATCTCTCTGTGTCACAGCCCCTCCCCTTTCCCCCACACACGCGCACTCTCTCTCTCCTAGACTTAATCAATCAATCAAGGCAGGTAAGGGTGGAGCTGATAAGGATTACTGATTTTAACTAAATTGTCACAACTATAATATCAAATAACAGAAAATAAAACATTAACTTTTTAATTCAAATATTTATAACTTTATGAGTTTTTTAATTAGTTTCTTTTTCTTTAACCCATTATTTCCAGCTGGGTTACATAGACCTATAATGAGTTGTGCTTCTCTTGATGGTTATTTGTTCTTGGCTGGCTGGCTAAAACTATTTGGGGGGGGGGGGGCACATGAAAAATACACATGAATAATCACAATTATGTACAGCAACAATGTCCATATTTTGGATAGGAGTAGACAGACGGTGTGAAAGAGGAGTGAAGGACGTTATCTATCTTAAAGTAAAGAAACCATCCCTCAACAGAGAGCGCCCACCTACAAAGTCCTTTTAATCCCTTCCCAGGAGATTTAACAACCATTCACACTTGGCCTCATGTGACTCTAAAAAACTCCAGTGACCATCATTTACAATTGGCCTATATGAATTTGACATTCAACATTTCTTTATTTAAATTTTTCATTCCAAACCAGGTCTTTATTGCCCAGCCAAATAATTTCTGGATTCTCTTCAGCGGGCTCCAGGTGGACCCTCATCAAGTGACCCGCCGTTGGCCGATGTCCCCTCAGCTGGACTGGCTGCACCTTGGCTAACAGCTGAATCCTCTACAGCTGAGCCAGTAGCATCTATTACTGCAGCAGCTTCTGCTCCGTCAGATGAGTGAGGCATGTTTTTAACGCCATCATTGGAGCGAGGAACAGCTGATCCTTCAGCCTTACCATCAGGAGATAGGGCCTGGTCCAAGTTGTCCTTTGGACAGACCAGCATTTTCGCTAAAGAATCCTTGACACTGAATAAAACACTCAATCAATAAAGAAATCTGTCCATTAATCCAATCATGTATCTATCAAACCTTACTCAAAAAGATTCAGTCACTTACTATAAGCTTGTGTATCTTTCATCCACCAAATGGGTCATTTTGACAAAGCGGTGTGAGAGAGCCTTCTCTGGAGTGATCCTCTTCTCTTGGTCTGTATGTAGAAGGCTTTTCAGGAGGCTGACAAATTCTCTTTGATCCTCCAGCGCAATGGATTCCTGTATCCCTGGTTTGTGCTGGAATTTAAACAAAGTACGCGACAGTTCAGTTTAAGTGCTTCATGTCTCTCGGTAAATTCATATTAATTATTTTTCAGTCATGGAATGGACGGCATACTGTTATGAGGTCATCCAGACTTTTAAAAGGGCTCATCCATCTCTTGGGTTCAATACCGGTGCCAAGCCGGTATTCCCTTGGGGTCTACAGGAACAAAACATGCTGGTCAGATACTACTTCCTAAAAGTTTTAAAAGGGTTGTTGTCTAACTGGGAGATAAAAGATAGTGAACAGCTGAACGAGGTTAAAATACCTTTATCCGCCATCTGTAGTTATTTGATTGCCTGTTCACCTTAAAAAATTTGTGGGTGTAGTTCCCAGCACAGAGGAGGTGGTGAGCTGGCTGGCCCAGTGTGTCTACAATGCCTCTCATCTGGAGAGAGAATATAAAGAATCACATCAGCCAAAATCCTACATCAAGTCCCCAGTTGGGTTTGGACATGTGTCTTAGGCAGAATGTAATGTGTACAATGTAATGTGTCTCCTTTGAATCTAGATTTGGTTACTTACTGACTGGTACTCGCAGTGTATTGCAAATGGGTGTATAGCGAGGTACAAGAAACCGAGCACACAGCCAAGACCCCACATGTCTATGGCCTCGGAGATGGGGAGGCCCAGGGTGACTTCAGGTGCCCTGTGTGTACCATGCAATAATCCCAAGAGCTATTAAGTATATTACCAAACTCAGCATGTGTACTGAAGATTGACACAATGTCTGAAATTCCAAATTGAGCCTACCTGTAACCCAGAGGCTGAAGTCTCATCCCACATTTCTTATTTAAGGTAGTGAAGGACAGCCCAAAATCTATTAGTTTCACTCTGAAGGGTTCAGTCAGGTGGTTGGCCAGCATTATATTGTCTGGCTTCAGGTCCGAGTGAATGACACCAATGCCCTTTAGGGCGTCAAGGGCCATCAGCAACTGCAGAGAGAAAGGACACGATCTTAAAGGTACCATTGACCAGGGTGCAGTCTTAAACTAAAGAAATACAGATATGTTCCTTCAGTATGTAATTTCTTTCTCAGCTGGATGAGTATATTGCCATTACTTGCTGATAGATTGATCAAAGCCACAACATCTTCACCTGGTGTGTTATTGGCCGTATCGCACTGGGAGACAGTGGCCTCCAGTGTCGTTCTGTGAACAATTGAAAAAGACTCTTGTCCAGCAGTTCAAACACCAGGCAGGTATGTCCTTTGTGGTTGAACTTCTCAAAGAACTGAACCACATTCTTCTTGACTGGGTCAAGAATGCTCACTACTTCAAGCATTTTGATCTGTGGAGAAAATGGAAAGATTGACATAGGTGCCTGTAAGTGACATAGTATAGCAATTAATAAACAAAACATCAGCAAGAGAATGTGGGAAAAAAAACATAAATAAACTACCTCTCTTCTAGCGGTCTTCTCAGCTTTTAGGATCTTGAGAGCCACGTCCTGTAATTTGT